TTTTCCGCAGCCATCAAGGCGCGGGCTAGTGCATCATAGCAAGATTCAGGGACCAGGCGTAGAGCAGCGTAGCTCCACCCATCACAGCCACCTTTCTTTTTGCCTGCCTTTTGCACAAGCTTTGCTAACCCTGCTCCGGTGAGCTGGGGCCAGTGTTGGACCTCGTCGTGTGCCTTAGCCTGAAGTTCCTCAAGGCGGGGGTGAGCAAAGATGCTCTTGCTCTCAAAAGTACCATCCCAGATCTTGCACCAAGCCAAGGCTCTTTCAAAAGCTCGCGCCTGATGACACAAGTTGCGGTAAGGCCTGGCAGTGACCTGTTCAGAGGATTTTAATACCTTATAGAGCGGTCCCAAAGAGCCCTTGGTGGCCCCACTCAGCCAGGCTTGGTAGTCCTCCGTTTCTTGGAGTTTTTGCTTTTGTTTCGCCTGCTGAAGCATGGCATCCACTTGCTCAAGCGTACCAGGCTGAGCAAATGTACCTGCTGTTGGAAGCAGCCCATCAGGAGCATCTTCAGGGAGGGTTAAGTCTGGAGCAGGTTGACCCGCCTGGATGGCGTCCTTCCACCGTTGCCAAAGGACCACCTCCTTCCCTCTCCAGACCCTACCTGGTGGCAGGGGTGCAACCAGAGGAGCAATGCTAGCCGGCGCTTTCCAGCCACGGCCAACAACCTTGAACCCAGCTTCTTGTTCACACCTACGGTAGATTTCCCCCAACTCCAGGGAGTAAGGATCAGAAGCGAACTGGTTGACCACGGAGATTTGGGTAAGGGTGTCACTGGCTTGTGATGGTGAAGAACCCAGTTCCGGCTCAACTGGGAACAATTTGAGTTGGTTGACCAAGCCACTGAGACCTTGGATTGGTATGCGAATGGTGACTGCTCCATGTGGTCTGGAAGGGACCTCCATCGACAAAGAGGTTTCCAAGACTCCTTCCAGTGCGGAGTGTACCATAGCATAATCCAACTCATTCTCACCACCCGCCGTGGGGCAACCTGGCCCCACCAGCTTACCCTTTACCTGGGAGACCAACCCGAGGTTGGCCATCTCCAGGCGTGGGTGATTCAAATCACCCATCACCACCCAAACTCCTTGGAGCTGAGACAAGGTGCCTGCGAGGTGAGCAAGAACCTCTGGGTTACAGCCACCTGTTGGCCCGACTCCTGACTGCAGATGCAGGCAGGGCCTGAAATTGGTAGCCTGCTTTCCCGGCCTCGATCTGCACCTGACGAATGTCTGTTTGGCCCAGATGTGTTTCCTGCACAGCTGCCACATCAGGTCCCAATTCAAACAACCAAGTGGCCACCTCTTTCCGCCACTGTGTGACATTGGCAGTAATGCAGGTAAGTGTGCGTTTAACACCCGGGTCACTGGTTTTCAGCACTTCCTGCACTGCCTGCCCTGCCACATACCACACCTCACGAGAGAAAAGATTGGACGAGAGGACATCCAAAATGTGATGACACACCCAATGTTCCAAGCTGCCATCATCCAAGGTATTCTCCAACTTCTCCACCAAACTTAAAATATCCGATTCCCTGGGCGTTTCCGACAAAAGGGCTTCCTGGACTAGGCCCAGGAGAGCTTGCCAGGTTGCTTTTAGCCCATCTGCACGCTGTTGTGCTTCAGACGGCCCAGGTTTAGGACGTCTACGCCTGCCCGGCCACGACCCAGTTCGCCAGGCCCCTGGAGTTGAACCACTATGCGGGACATCCCCCAAGACACCTGGAGAGATTGGGTCCTCCTGCGACCAAGTGGCACAAGGTTGCCTAGTTTGAGGCGAGACCCTAGCCCAACTGGCTGGGACCTTGAGCCTCGACTTGAGGCTGCCTGACAAAACTGTAGCTGTGGAGCATGGCTCCGCAGCTTGCTGCACAGGTTCGCCTGAAGGGAAGGTACCTTGACTCTTCTGGCCAAGGTGTCTCTTTGAACCTCGGTCTCCTGGACGAGGACGTGCACAGCTGGCATATGGTGTTTTGAAACCTTTGGCCCTTTGTGCCGCGCCCGCCTCCAAAACTGGAGATGTCCCTTTCCTGATTGCACCAGGGCCTTCCATGACTCCCGAGTGTAAGGGCTCAGGCTCCACTTCCTCATCCCCATCCCCTAGGGCTGGGAAAAATTTTGGCCCAGTGATTGGGAGGAGGTGCTCAGACAGCCTAAGAACAAAAACCCCTTCGGCTCTCACCTGATCATCGGACTGCCAGGTAAAGAACTCAGGGTTAGCAAAATTTTGAGAGCAAAGTTCCGATACATGTTGTGAAGGCAAAGGAGACGATGTCCGGCACTGCCCTGCTGGGCCACGGTTTCTGCCTGCCCTACCTACAGTGCACCACCCATCGTCTCCAAGCCTTGAGGCTGGGGTTTTGGCTCCCGGGGCAAGGCGCCTCCGACCTTGCCTTTTATGCCTACCAACCTACTCCGGCGGGGAATCTCCGACCTCCTCTTTCCTTGACGGAGGGTTCAGAGGGGTCGCTCTTGCTATGGCCGGGGTGCCCCGAGCTGGGCCGTACGAAGCCGGCCAGACAGTGGGCCCTTGGTTGATCCCTGCCAGCTCTTGAGGAAATGGCTCTCGGCTGTCAAACCGGCTCAAAAAGGGGTCCGGGCCAATCTCATCTTCAGTCGTCGTGGTCAAGAGAGCCGCTTTCAATTTGGCCTTCGTTCCCTCTGCGAGTTCGTGGCCCGCTTCCGCCAGGACCTGTTCCATCTGACCAAAGGCCGTTGTTGCCTTATCCTCAGTCAGTTCTTTGAACTCACGCGCTGTGTCCTTCATTTCCGCATCTTTGTTCTCAATCTCGCACCCGACCTGTGCAACATCCAGCATCAGGGCCTCAAGTTCCTCCTTAAGACGGTCTGCCTTCGCCTGCAACATTGCCCGCTTCTTCACCAACTTCTGCATTTGGTTAGTAGACTTGCGGAACTCTGTCACTACTCGGGTCAGACGCTGTCCTGGGGTGATCTCTGGCGCACCTAGATTGACATCCTCAGGCGGCGGAATGCCTGCTGCTGCCAGGAGCTTTTGCACATGGTCACCTGCTCCACTGTACACCACCGTGCGCGCCGCCTGGTACTCTTGTTGAGTCATGGAGCCTTGCAGGGAGGACGGCACCCTCAGCCCTGGCGGCGGGGATGGCAGTCGAGGCGCCTTGCATCCCACCTTTGTCAAGGCCTTCTGGGTGGCCTCTGGCAAGTCCTGCCAGACCTCTGCCAAGGCCGAGCTGACCTTCCCAAGCTCAGCTTTCGGGCCTGGGTTGCCTCCCCCGGCCCCTGTGGGAGTTGGCCACATGGGCCAGCCTGGCACCTTCCACGAGGCCTGCTCGGCTTTAGCCTCTTTCTCCTTCTTTTTCTTGGCAATTTGCTTAGCCCAACTCCGTCCGCAAATGGCACAGTGCGTATCCTCTCCGTTGGCTACTGCTGGTGCCACGCCCAGCCATAGCCGCAAGCACACGCACACCACTGCTTGGAGCGCCCCATGATGCTTTCTGCTTAGCAGGAAACACCACTAAGTGGGAGCACGGGCAGGCAAACCTCTGCCAGAAGGCAAGGGAGCACGCAACCTCTGCCAGAAGGCAAGGGAGCACGCAACCTCTGCCAGAAGGCAAGGAGACTCACTCCGGGCGGCAGTGAGTACGAAAACTATACAAGCACTACCTACCAGCTACCGGAAGCTTGAGCCGAGACTTGAGCCAGGTTAGGATTTTTCTTCTTCAGCGGACAGAGAGTTCCGCGGCCTGAGGCCGTGTTCGAACACCTACAGAACTACAGACTGTACAGATCAACAGCTAGCTACTGCCATCCGCAAGCAAGCGGGGACTGCACCACTACGGAAGTCACACAAACCCACCCGCAGGTAGGCATGTGAGACTGTAGCACACGTGGAGAGTAGCTGAAGCTGGACCATGCACAAGTGCCAGAGTGCATAGACCTGGGAGCAACAGGCAGGCCAAGTCAGTGGCACCTGGACACTGTCAGGAAAAGCAGGTTGAAGCGGCGAGCGTACCCAAGACGACCGACAACTTCGACCAAGGCAGCGACCCAGCAGCTGTACACACCGAGAAGACTACCCGCAGCCTGTACACAGTGGAAGCGCCGCCCCTCATGGTGAGAACACGCAAGTGCCCTCACCATTCAGGATCATGAGCATTACAAGACGCAGAAAGTCAGGGCTTCATGACATCAGCAGTAGCTTGGGTCATGGCCCAAGAAACGAAATCCCGGAAAGCTCATCACAGCTGTTCTAGCAACTAGCAGGCCTCAAGGCCTCATGCGTTGTGAAGGGCATTTGCGACAACATCATTTGGACACGGCGGGTGTCCGCTGTCACTCTCAGGAGAAACCTTTCCTTTTTGGGTGCAGCTGGCAGCGCACACCGGCAAATGAAACCACAAAACAAAGTCAAAACAGCTCAGGTGACCAAACAAGGGTAACAACTTTAGTTAGGGTGCAGCCAGCAGGGCGAACACCAGCGAAAAGACCTGGGCTCAACTAAGGAAAAAATGATTGGTTTCAACAGTGAAGGATTCCTCATGGCAACAAGCTGTCAGTAAAACCACCCAAGGAATTATCACAAGAGTGCGCCTGGATTGATTACAGCCTGCAGCGGTCACCAAACTGTCAGAGTTGGTCGGCAGACTGTAGTCACACCAGCTGTCTCCTAGACCTCAGTGCGTGACTAGTACAACCTAGTCCAGGCTTCCATTCAGAGCGCTAGCCTGTGCTGACCATCGTGTGAAGAGTGCGCCACGAATTCAACGGGCATGCAGGCCCACTGCAACACATTAGGCGAGATTGCTGTTGCGCAGACAGGAAGTCCTGTTTTCACTCTCTCTCACCGGGAACAGCCACAGCAGAAGTTTTCAAACTCAAGGCAGCAAGAGCTGTACGGCATCTGCGACAACCTGGCACCTGGGTGTAAGGGTTGTGCCTTCCCTCACACAGTGGCGCGACCGTTGCATGCTTGCCATTAGTAAGCCAGCAAGTGCTGCAGACGGCAACTGCGACAACCCTGACACAAGGAGAAGTTGCAAGTGCAGACGCCGTGCCTGCGCACGTTTGCTCCATCTTTAAGCCAGCAAGTGATGCAGACGGCATTTGCAACAACCCTCAAGGCCTGTGGCAGGTGAAGGTGTCTGGAAAACTTTGAGCTACAACAGAGACATGGGTGCAGCCAGCAGCGCACACCATACTGATACTGGAATTGGCCAAGGCCAAAACAGGGGAAAACGTATCAGAAACCCTCATCAGTGGCCTCCTACACCATATCTTCCCATTGTGACCTTTGGGTGCAGCCAGCAAGGCGCACTCCAGTGGCAACGTCTGCACACTTCAGGTCAAAAGAATTATCTACGTACCCTCACCCCATTTAAACTTCAGACCAACCAAGCTATTAAACCGGACCGAGGAGGCAGCGGCCTCTCTCAGCAGAATCCATCATTTAGGAGCCAGTTGAAAGCACAATTTTGACTGCTTGGGATGAGGTTTGGCCTTAGGGTGAGGGGCACTAGGAGGGGAAGAAACTGTTTCTGAGGCCTCCTTTCCCCCAGGCTGCATCAACCCCAACGATGGCGAGGGCATTGTAGCTGCCGCGAACAGGTGTGTCAACTTACGGTCCTCAGTACCTACCTTGGAGCCCGCCTGTGACGTAAGCTTGTGAGCCCCTTGTCTTTTGAGACCTTTACAAGCAGACTGGAGGCTCAATGAAGTTTTGACTGCCCCTACCTTGGCCATTGCCAAACATTTGGAACAAGCCCAGAAAGACCCTTTGTTCACAAGTTCATGGGAGCTGTGAACGCCCCAACATTGCGGGACTGGTGCTGGAATGTCCCGACAAGGATGATTTATTTTCCGGGTGAAAATTTGCTGCGAGTTCGTCTGCTCAATGTACAGACCGCAAGTTTGGCAAGAGATGGCAAAGTTGTTTTCTGCTTTGGTGGAGTGTGCCTGCCATATGTGCCCATTGGTGCCCTCACCCTCCGAGCACTTTCTCAAGCGTTGCTTCTTATTTAGGGTGGGTTGGGAAACAGGGGTAACCTGGGAAGGGCATCTTACAGCTTTGAGCGCAGCGCTGTGTGGCTTTGCAAACTTTCCGGGCAAAGAGCTAGTAACCTGCTGTTTAGACTTAGCTCGTTTTTCCTTAAAGACTTGCGGTGGCGGGTCAGTGGAAGTAGCAGTGATAAGGATCTCAACCCTCTCCGCTAACTTTTCCGAAATCTCAGCAGCTAGCCTGTCAATTTTCTTAACTTCCAAAACCTTACCTGGGTCATAGGCGGCACGGGCTACCTCAGCACAAAGGACATCAGCCTGACGGTTGGCCTCCCATTTCCAACTCTGCTCGACCCCAAATTCTTGGCAGAACTGGTCAAGGGACCTGTGCGAGCGGATCCAGGTGCAACGAAGGCGATTTTGACGATGGTTGATACGTTTGATCGCTGGCATGCAATCGCTGGCTACATCTACAGGGCCGCTAGTGTATTGCTCAAGAACACTCAAAGCCTCATATTCACCATCAACCACAGACGCTCCTAAAGGTAAGAAACCAGTGATGGTTCCCACACAGGTTAGGAGATCCTCACATAAATTAAAAGCCTTCACAGCAAAAGCTACCAGCCGAAACCTTGGATCCGTGCTGGACGGGCCACCTGTCGCATCGGTACTGAAGACCAATGCATCAGCACAGATCTTTTCACCGTCCGCCCAGATCCCTTTCATGTCAAGAACTTGGGTCCAGGCCGGCCGTGGCATCGTGGTCCAGGCTTTAGGGACAAGTCCCCGGCTCCAAAAGCTGGGTGAGGGGAATTTGCTTGTCAACCGCTGCCAGTGTTTAGGCAACTCATGACGATTCTTCCAGAAAGCGCATTCAAGCAAGACATGTTCCCAAGTGGCATGAGTGCCACAAAGGGGACATTCCTGCAGCCCTCCATTGGGGGCGTGTAAAACCGCTCCCTGCCACAGCGCCTGCAAAAACTTGGTACACTGCTTAGTTTTGCCCTTTTTCTTCAGAAGAGACCTGTGGCTGGACCAATCTAACCCTGCCAAGACGGTGGGGTCATCTAAGACCTCAGCAACGCGCTGCCTACGATGAGTGAGCAAGGTATCTTTAATCTTATCAACCAAGACTTTGGCAAATGCAGGGTCATTCCAGGAACACTCCAGGGGACCTGAGGGAAAAACCCATGAACTCAGGCTCCTAGCAGCAACACCCATATTCATCAAGTACGCTTGCGCCGCTGCCTGTGGTCCAGCTACAACTTGCCACGGATGAGCAACTTTTGTTGCAACTTGTCCCAGGACAGGGACCACGCCTGAGCAAGCTGCTCCCGCAAGTGCATGGGCCATCTCTTGAATACACGAGCAATAGTGGCAAAATGCTGGGTTAATATCGTGATTATGGGGTCTTCCTGCTTGTGGCGAAGATCAAACACTATATCAGTGTTCCCCAACTTGTGACGACCGAGTTGGGCTGCACCCGTGGCTCTTAACCACTTGAGCCTTTTTGGGGCCAGGCCCATAGCCTGATGTCCCCAAGCAGCCACAGCAAATATGCCCCCTTTGTAAACCCTCCATTTGTGACAAAGAGATGGCACATGCAGCTTGCGTAGATGAAGACCCCTAGCCGTACCTTTCTGTTGCCTGGTCTTCGCCACGGCAATGCGGCGGCGTTTGGCTCCACTATAGTCCGTCCCCAAGTCCCTGGCTAAGGACGTGACAGGAGGGTCATCCTCACCAAGAAGCAACTGCAAGGCTTTCTCTGTGGTTTTATCGGTACGAACAAAACAGGTCTTAGAAATTGAAATAGTGAAACCACTTTCGGAAAGAGACTTTTTCAAAAGCTTGAAAGATTTATGGATCCGGTGGGCTACTTTTGCAGGCTTGCCATCTGCATCCACCGAAACATCATCAAGCCAAGCGGTGATCTGGTCCGTCAGGTGACTTTGGTGAAGTTGGGACAGCGCAGGAAAAAGAACAACTTTGGCCAATGCAAAAGCAACTGGGCATCCTGCCATGATGCCTTTCGAAGCAAAGCATTTAGGTGATACGACCGACTCACCGGTGACGTATCGGCCCCCCCGATAAATCTTAATGGCCGTGTCAACCATCAACGGCGGGAAGTCGCACTGCAGAGCTTGGTCGGCTAACATTGTGTGCGAAACGCTTTCATAGAAAGTTTGCACATCCACAAACAATGTGGCCCTGCTACGACCGTGAGCTTTTGCGACTTCTGCTTGCAGCCTCCCACGGCGCTACGGCACCAAAAGACATGAGCCATTCCTGCACAAGTGGGTATCGCAATTTTGCCCATAAACGATAAACCGAATTGCAAAGTGCAATGGGGCGTTCGAGCTTATTGTTTTTGGGTAACAAAGTGATCATGCTGGTTTCCCAATTATGCGGAAGCAAGCCCTCAACTTCAATCCTTCTCAAGATTGCAGCCAAGGGCTGCAAGGCTTCACCAGGAAGCTTTTTGAGGTCCTGGTAGCACCATCCGTCCGCCTCTTCGCTTGTTGACGGGCCGCCTGCGACAAAGGAGTGCTCAAAGCCAGCAGCGGCTCAGGCTGAGCCTCCCACAGACTTGCCCCAAATTTTAAGCGGCAGTAGGGCCTGAGTTTAAGCCCCTCTGATCTGAAAGGACGGGCAGTCGTTGCTTCAGGATTCTTCCACAGCTTGCAACCAAACATCTGTAGCCGGTGTGCCCTCAAAATGCTAACAGCTTGCCCTTTCCAGTCGTTCCAACAAATTTGGCTCTAGCGCTCTGTAGTGGCAAGGTTGGTCGTTTTGGGGTTGTCGTTGACAGCCCAAGTGTTGGCTGTACAGTCTTTTGGACTTGAGTTCTAAGCCTCCAGGACTCCCAACCTCCAGCAGCAGCTGTGAGGTTCCGGAGGAAGCCACACACTTGAGTCCTACCGTAGCTCCAGCTGCAGCACCACCTGGCTTGCTACGCGTCGTAAACACGCATGGAAAATTTAGTTCACCTGCACATTCTTTGGAGCCTCTTTTTGGGACCCAAAACCAGCCATTGATTTTTCATTTTTTTCATTCTTGTACTCGGCCTGTGACCGATGACTCAGCGGCTGCGAAGACTCAGATTGAAAGCCTGTGCTAAGCTTATGGAACGTAGGATTTATCAAAGACGACAACAGCAACTATTGTGCCATCAAACAAACTTGTCAAGATAATCCGGCATAGTTGTTGCCGCAATGGCTAAGAACATGCAGCAAGTTTCAGTTTTGATTTTAGAAATCAAACATGTGTTCAATAGCAGTAACTTGGGTGCTAAGTGAGCTCGGGCCAAAAATGAGACCCTTTTCTGAGCCTACGGCAATTGTGCCCATTTTTGGCTCCGCTCTTCATCCTTTCTGAATGCACTTTTTGAGTTCTCAATTTGCAAGAACTGGCTGTAAACAGCTGTTACTGTAGAAACCGCAAGCTGTGAGCAAAGGCGAAAAAGACGCTGCTTATGTGCAACTGTCAGATGGGCGTAGCCAAACCAGAGGCGAAGCTGGTCTCTTCGTCGGCCTCGATCAAATCCGTGAGGGTGAACTTTGAGAATTCTGGAGAGCTAGGAGCTGTCCCACAAGCGTACCCGGGGCTCGAGCAGGACGAGGCTTGTCTGGAGGCATGAATGGGGGCTGATAGGCATCTTGAGCAAAGAGNNCACGGCCGTTCAATGTAGAAGTTTCTGACTTTGGCCTTTATTGCTTCTAAGAGGGCTTCGTCACGTCCTTGCTTCAGCATTAAGGGGCGTGTGGCACATTACGATCTGTGCGTTTCAATGTTTTTTCAGAGTTTTCCTTTGCAGTGCCATGCCAAGAGTGAAGGCTCAAGCCAAAGCCACAATGCCGCAGAAGCATGCTTGCCATGTTTCCAGTGAGGTGGAAAGTGTCCTTGATTAGCGTCAAAAAATCGGCATAGTTTGGAGTCTGGGAGAGGTGGGCTCCACAGTTGCTGCTGCATGGCTAAGAACACATGCAGCAAGTT